CAGAATTGTTTGTCCCAAAATCAAATGACAAGTTGATCTCTACAAACAACTATGACTCAGTAAGTTACATTCATAAAGTAAGTGTTAAAGCAGTTAAGTCTAACCATTACCAAGAGGCATATCCATTAGTAAGGCTGAGTTTACACAGAAAGACAGCTGAGTCTTAGCTGATGTTAAGATTCCTTTTCTCACTGTATTTTCATTGTTCATTCTTTTAAAAATGGGGTAAATTATAAACCCTTGGGCTTTACTGATTTTGTATTAACCCTTATTTTCAAATAATTTCAAACTTTTAGAAAAGTAGAAGAATAGTTGAAAGAATTCCCATATATATCCTTTACTCAGATTCACCAATATTTAACATTTTGCTATATTTATTTCCTTGATATTATCTCTCTAGTTATATACACAGACACACAATTTTTTCTGAATCATTTGAGAATATATTGCAGATATCCTGTCCCTTTACTCTGTAACAGTTTAGTGGACATTTCCTGAGAGTCTGGGTATTCTCCCACATATCCACATTAGCTAGCAAATTCATGATGCCATACTATTAGCTACTAATCTATAGTCCATATTCCAGTTTTGTTGATTATTCCAGTAATGTCCTTAATAGCATTTCCCTCCCCGCCATAACCCCCACATCAGGAAACTGCATTCAGTTGTGATATGCTTTTAATCTAGAACAGTTCCTCAGCTGTTTTTTCTTTTATACCACTAACATTTCTTAAGATGACAAGGCCTCATATTCCTTTTTTTTAAAAGTTCACAAATTAACATAAATGAGAATATTATGAATTATTTTAAACTTAACATTGTTTATATAGCAGGGTTTTTTTTTAAGTAAATTTTTTATTGAATTGTAACAGACAAGTGCACATATTGCATGTACAGCCTGGAGAATTTCCACAAAATGAACATATCTGTATAATTGGTACCCAGAATAAGAAACAAGTCCAGAAGACCCCTTCTCTGTTGTATTCTTTTCTAGTCATTAATTGCTATTCCTATTGATTAATTCTGCTGGCTTTTGAACTTTAATAAATGAAATCATGCAATATGTATTCTTTAAGGTCTGGCTTCTTTTGGTTTAACGTTATGGTTATGGAAGTCATCCGTGTTATGGCATATAATGGTAGTTTATTTCACTGTAACAAAAATGGATTGTTTCAGACCCCCTTTGGTAATTTAGCCATATTTGGATGACTTATGCAAGTGCACCTTGAGCTTTTCTGAGTTGCTGGCTTTTGTTGCCTATTTGATCCCTGTGCTCCATCGGTGTTTCAGTTCTTAGCATTTAAAAGTACAAGATAGTCTTTGAAGGTATTTTTAAAGTAGTTTCTATCAGCTCATTTCACACTTACCCAACAGTCTCCAGACAGTGCTGTTCTTCTGACCTGTGGGTATTGTCTTTTGGGTTATTGCTGGCTTACAAAGTAGTGGTAGTGTTTTCATTTAAATCAGCTGTCAAATCAATATAACTGTATTTTTCTTCTTTTAGTCCTGGTTTCCTGAGGTTCGTAAGGGTTTTATGTGGTATGTCTTCAGACGAAAGGAAAGCATTCTTGCAATTTACCACTGGTTGTTCAACGCTACCCCCAGGTGGACTGGCTAACCTGCATCCCAGGCTCACGGTTGTACGCAAGGTACAAACTCCAGCTAATGGGGAATCCAAATGGAATTTAGTTACTTAGGGATTGAAGGAAATATTTAAAGTCATGGTCTTCTGTTACTTTCACTATTCTTTCTGTAGGTTGATGCTACTGATGCAAGCTATCCATCAGTGAATACGTGTGTGCATTATCTAAAGTTGCCAGAATATTCTTCGGAGGAGATCATGAGAGAGCGCCTGCTAGCTGCTACAATGGAGAAAGGCTTTCATCTCAATTGAGCTTTGAAGTGCGATGGGAGACATCATAGAGACTTTAAAATACTAGTGAAACCTCTTGTGTTTGTGTGCAGAGAAGTATATGATCCTCCACGCTAATGACACTTGCCTTTTTTCCACCATTAAGGCTTTAAGAACATGTGGAATAAGTTCGTTAGCTGCTAATGACAAAAGAAATCCTTTAACTACCCAGCCAGCAAGTATATGGCACAGAACACTGTGTTGCTCTAAGGGCTCATGTGACTGGAATAAGGGGGTCCTACTTGACTGTCCCAAAGAGCAGCGCCTCAGATCCTCAGTGTTCACTGGGGAATTCTAGCAGTGTACTTGTGTAAAGTTTGTCATTTCATACTTCATACACTACAGTTGCCATCACTGATCCCTGTTTTGCTGGCTTTTAAGCTACTTGGTCAAAAATCCTGCTTCCTTAAAACAGAGAGAGTTAATGAGCATCTCAAGCTTTTTCTTTTCCTTTTTACTGATGCCTGCACTATCAGAGTATTCTAGTGTTCTCTCTTTTGTTTGGCATATAATCATGCACAACCTTTTTATTTCTTTGAGGTGGGAGTATATTTTTATTTCCTAAATGCCATACTATAAAGATCAAATTCTTGAGTGTGTTTGTGCAGCTCGAAAATAAAGATACATTGCGGGGGGACACTGGTCTAGGCGCAAGGCACACTTGAAGCAAGTTTTACTTTTGGTTGTATTTTCTTTGTATATTATAAACATTTATTTAACTTGTTGCAGTTTGAAGTAAAAAATTTCCAAAATGTATGCTCAACAATAATCATTAAAATGTTTGCAGCGTACAAAACTGTGTCTTGTGACTATTTCACTGCAACCGTCAGATCTAAGAACTTAACCAGATACTTTTCATTTTGAACTATTGAGATTTAGGTTTTTGAAATTACTAAATGAAGAAATGTAGTTTTCGACAGTAAATACACTTACTGAAATTGGAAAGCTAGAAGAAATATATGTTCACATGCTTGTGATCCAACAAATGTGTTATATCTTAAAGGATTCTTCAGCTAAAAATGGCCAGGTTATTTGTATTAACTTTTTTTTTTAAAGATTGGCACCTGAGCTAACATCTGTTGCCAATCTTCTTGTTTGTTTTTTTTCCCTCCTTCTCTCCAAAGGCCCCCAGTCCATAGTTGTATATTCTGGTTATAAATGCCTCTGGTTGTGCTATGTGGGACGCCCTCTCAGCATGGCCTGATGAGCAGTGCCATGTCCACGCCCACGATTGGAACTGAGGAAACCCTGAGCTGCCTAAGTGGAGCACATGAACTCAACCACTTGGCCACAGGGTCGGCCGCTTTATTAACTTTTTAAGCACCAGATCCACTACTTACCGTTGTATCTGCAGGGATGTGTACGTCTAAGATCTAAGAATGATTTTCTTTGAATGTTGTGTTAGTATGAAAAGAAACCACACCAGGATTTGCTATTTCCATCACATCTCTGCATTTAGGTGAAAGAAATGTCTCTAGGCCTGATTTAGCCAAATGGCTCTTTTAGGGGCTGGCCGGGTGGCGCAGCAGTTAAGTTTGCACATACTGCTTCTCGGAGGCCCGGGGTTCACTGGTTCAGATCCCGGGTGCGGACATGGCACTCCTTGGCAAGCCATGCTGTGGTGGGTGTCCCACATAGAAAGTAGAGGAAGATGGGTACGGATGTTAGCTCAGGGCCAGTCTTCCTCAGCAAAAGGAGGAGGATTGGCGGCAGATGTTAGCTCAGGGCTAATCTTCCTCAAAAAAAAAAAAAGTCATGAGTGTGAAAATCTCTCAAAGCTGGTAATCACAGTTCAGCTGAGATGACACAGCCTGTGAGAACAGACAGTCACATTGCAGTTCACTTTGCAGGAGTCAAGTGTATGGGACATCTACTAGGGTCTCCACGTATACTAGGTTCTGGAGTATTTTCTCCTGTGCTACCCACATAGCATTTTTTAATTCTCTCAAGGTACTGAAATCTGTGCCAAGATGTTATTCAAAGTGCTATTTTGGTGTGACCCAAAAATTAATTTTGTTCACTCCCTAGTTACTTCTGGTGTACCAGTTTCAGTTACCTGAATGTGCTACTGATTAAGTGCCTCCAACTAGGACAGTGTTTCCCAACTCATAGTCTCAGAAAGACCTCCAGAGCTCTCTGATTGAGACGAGGCTTCCCCGGCCCGCACTCCCTAATGCCAGGGTGGACCTGTACACACATAGCATCCACTGTTCTAGCAGGTCAGAAGCCTTCCCTCGGCCTCTGGAGTCCAAAACAACTTGGGTTTGCTTTTGGAGTCCATTATTGATTGGTTGCCTTTATAGATGCAAACTTTGAAATATGTAAGTAGACTTTTAGAAACAGATGAAGTAAAGAATTTAAACAAAATCCCTCCTTCCACACACGAGAGAGGAAAAAACCACACTACTGAAGGAATGATCACTGTCTAGAATGTCCATTTATGTTCTCTTTTGGAGGACAGAGTGTTGTAGATGAAAGAACTCTTGGAATTCCATAGGATGGCACAATAGCTTAATGTACCAAGACTGTAATTGGGTTTCCTCCTTTGCACCTGCCCTCCGCCCCAGACATGCACATAAACACGCTTTCACTTAAGACAGTTCTGTCTGTTCTCCTGTTGACAAAGCAGCAAAAGCGTAGAGAAGGGTTTGGGAGGATCAGGGCATTGGTCGTCTATAGTGACTTGGCAGTTTTCTTTCCTTCAAGACATTCCAGTAGGAGGAGTGGAAGGAATAAGAGTTAGGGTGTGGGGAGAAGGATTCATTTCATGCCTACCTAAACAGGTATTCTCTTGCATTCAGTAAATTTCACTTACAAATTAATACAAACCCTTTACAATATGGCATAAAGGATAGTTGTAAGGCTCTCTGTTACCGTTTAACCATTCATTATTCAGTAGTAACATTCTCTGTAGAGTTAATTTCATGACGGCATTGTAATTGCCAAGTGCCCAGAAAATGGATATCAGGCTTTTAGAAACTGGCAAATAAAATTTAATTCTGTAGTTTTCATTAGGTACACAATACAGTAAAGTGTTGACTTTTTAAGGAAAAAGATGACATTCAGAAAACAAAATTACTCCAAGTGCTATGTGTATTTAAGTCAATTTTAAAATTTTATTGGCTGATGGAGAGCTACCACACTTTCTTCCCACCTCATGCTGCTATTCCTAAATCTAATTTGCAAAAGGAAGCAGAGACCAAAAAAGGTTCCCTTGGTACTCAACAAAATTTAAACAAATGGGAAAAAGAAAGCTTATGGTTAGAAAATAAAACTCTCTCAGAGAAAATTTTTCTTTGTACATCATATTTTAAAATACAGTTTTGTTTTCCATTGAGGAACTGTGGGAAACACCTATTTAAAATGTCTTGCAGTGTGTGGTCTTGCGGATTCTTTGGGCTGCAGATGTTGAGCAGTGTTCCGTGGTGTTCTCATTTCTTATACGCTGATGTTGTCTGGCAGAGCCTTCCATTATTCAGCTTTCTGACATCTTGTCAAGAATTAGTAGAGGGGCAAGAATTCTTGCCCGATTCGTTTCCACAATGCAGCCATTTAACACCATCTCATCCAAAATGATATGTACTTTATCCAAATTAAACATTATCTAGGATCATATTAAGGAAATTAGTTTTACAGTTAGAAAAATGTTAATATTCAGTAAGTAATAACTGAGCCTGGAATTTCTCCAGTGTAAATTAGTCTGAGCATGAAGGTGGTAGTTTTTTTTAATAGAATTCCTGAAATTAAATTTTAAAATTGGTGTCCATATTAGGAATTACTACCCTTACGTACACATACACACCTAGATTCACCTTGGGTAAGCTAACTGGACCATTGGCATAGAAATGGAACAGCTACATCTTTGAGCCAGAGAGAAATCTAAGAACTGGAGAATAAGGCAAGTGACATTTGGCAAGAGCACACCTGACCTCAGGAACAATGCTGTCTTCCCAGACAACGACGACAGCGATAACCGCAATTTATGAATACTGATTTAGTTCCTGGCATTGTGTTGAGCATTTTACATATTTTAGTCTTCTCTATAAGATGTGCATGTTACATACTATCCTCATTTTACAGAGGAGCAAACAGGGTCAAAGCCATTGCCCTAGGTCACATGGCTAGTAATTGCCAGAGCTGGAATTGAAGGCCAAAGTTTGGGATTGGCTGCTTCCAGACTTTTCAGGAGGGGCCTGAGGCTACTGAGTACCCCCCCCCCCCCCCCCCCCCCGCCCTCAAACCTCCAGCCAAAAACAAATGCCTTTACAACCTCGCATGCTGAGGGATCTTCTATGTCAGATAGGCTGAAGGAAAAATAACCATGAGGATGGCACTGCTCGTCAGACCACGCTGAGGCAGCGTCCCACATGCCACAACTGGAAGGACCCACAACGAAGAATATACAACTATGTACCGGGGGGCTTTGGGGAGAAAAAGGAAAAAAAATCTTTAAAAAAAAATAAATAAATAACCATGAGGAGAAATGAAGAAGGCAAGGCAGTGCTGACTCAGTTCCCAAGTAGATAAAAATTCTGAATTTCAACAGAGTACCTCTTATAAATGGACAGTTGTAAAAATACTCATTTGAGAATTCTGGAGCCACTTTAGCTTACTGATGTTCTTTTGTTCTTTTTTAATCTTTATTTTATTGAGGTCACGTTGTTAATGACATTGTGTAAATTTCAGGTGTACATCATATTTCGGCTTCTGTACAGTGTGACTTGTGTTCACCACCAAAAGTCTAGTTTCCAGCTGTCACCATGCATGCGTGCCCCTTTACCCCTTTTGCCCTCCCCCCAAACTTACTGCTCTTCTTATTGGAAAGTTAGTATATGACATGGAGGAAGAGGAAAATATTGGTAGACTATGTTGCTAATGAGAAAGAGCCAAAGTCTTCCCCTAGGAGCCCCTTCATTTGAGTACCTAACTTTTCTTTCGTGAAAGGAAAAGAGGAAGTGGAATAAGATGGTGATAATGGTTGAATGCTTCTGAATTCTACACTTTCATATCTTGAGTTCCCATCTCTATTTAAAGAGCATGATCCTGGTCTGTTAAAAAAAAACAGGTGACAGATTGTTTTAAATAGATAAACTTCGTTCAACAAATGAGTGGTTAAATGCAGCAGGGGAGTCCATAATTAAATAGTGAATCTTTGTAAAGTGAATCATTACCACCTGATTTTTGTTTAATAATTCCAGATCTTCAAGTCTATATTGTATTTCTTTAGTGAAGTACATCTATACAGAATAAAACAACCCTGTGAATGACTTTTCAGTTTCTATTAGGCTCTGTGTTAATATCTCATTAAGCTCTGTGCAAATAGTCCTCCAGCAGAATAAACTGTTTTTTAGGAGCCCATGGGAACTGTCCTTAAGTGACCCAGAAAAAAACCTTTACTCTGATATACCTATTAATAATGTCTTCCAATTATATAGATGATTGCTTTGTCCATGGCCAAATTCGGACTGGAATATTAGGCCCTTGACTCAATCCTGTTCACCAGATCCAGAAGCCAGAACTGAGAAGCCAAGACAATGGAAATGACAGCCAGGTAGAGAGAAAGGCAAGTTGGGGAGCTGGCCTGGTGGCACAGTGGTTAAGTTTGCGCACACCCCTTCAGCGGTGTCAGGTTCACAGGTTCGGATTCCAAGTGCAGACCTACACACCGCTCATCACAGCGGCGTCCTACATATAAAATAGAGGAAGACTGGCAGAGACGTTAGCTCAGGGACAATCTTCCTCAAGCAAAAAGAGGAAGATGGACAACAGATGTTAGCTCAGGACCAATCTTCCTCACCAAAAAAAAAGGCAAGGGGGGCGCACAGGTGGCGACATGAAAACTGGCCTGTAGAATCCCCCTGTTATATTTACTAAGGGCAATAAAAGCCTTGGTGCCTTTGAAAATGTCATCTCATCCAAGATGTTTTTCCTTGGGATAGAAGGAGATCTAATTTTAATCTATTCTGTTTGAATTGGTTCAGGGGTCAAGCTGCTCCGAAGACTGCTCCATCTTTGGCAAGTAGATGATAATCAATTCAAATGTCCCCTTCAACTGGCCAATTGTTTTGAAATTCAGATTAGAATTTAATGCTGAATCATGTCAACCACTGACATCCTCACATTGCAAGGACAAGCTCCTTTAGCAAATCTGAATTTCCCAACATCCTGGAAACATGAGTTGCTCAGTGAGGTCATTCTGTACTGTGGGCATGTGACTGCCTGTCCATCTGAGTATCTGGCTCAAACGCCTAATAATCATGCAGCTTTTTGGCACTAAATAGGGAAACCACAGACCAAATCCAATGTGGGGCAAAAGCCTGTAAGCTGATTTCCCCCAGAATCACGTGATTCCTTTAAAATAAGAATCCAGCTGTTGTTCACATCTTGATTTGGTTTATGAGTAATGGCATTTGGGCTGTATGCCAGGTGAGCAGGACCAAACAACACCCTATATGCCAAGCCACATGGCAGTAAACATGGGCAAACACAGTTCAACCTCGACTTCTGGAAGAGGAGGAAGCAAGAAAAGCCCAGGCTGTTGGTCTGATAGTGTGCTGAGCTGAAAATATTTCAAGAAGGTCCTACCTTTGGGCCTATACTGAACTGACTTAAACATCCTCAAGGCAACTTGTTTCTCCTCACAGGCACCCTAAGGTTGGAGCTGGGACGAGCTAGAAATAGCCTCCCTAAGAGCAGATTCATAAAGCCCCACTTTCTCCCAACCCTGAAACCTAAGAGCCTTTCTGAATGTCTTGTAATGTGGATTGGAGTTGAACATCTTACAGCCCTGCTAATATTCATGCCACTGAAATCAATTTTTTAGTTAAAGTGATCAAAATGTTTCTGCTTCCTACGTTGGAATTTTGATCTCTACATCACAAAACACTTTTTCAACCTGGTATTTTAACATGACTGTGGTGGCCTGGTTATCCTTTACTGTGAGAAAACTGAGCGGCACAGTAATGCAAATGGACCTCAAACGCAATTGCGAGGCAGAGCCCAGCCTAGAAATGAAGATTTCTAAATCAATTTTGGTCTCAGATCTCTATCTTCTTACTGATTTCTTTCTTTTTTTCTTTTTTAAGATCCTAGCTAAGCAGACTAAGTAGGGTGGGAAAAACTTGCTCTCATTAATTTATACTTTAATTCAATTTCCCGTGAGATCAGATAAGCTGCCAGGGGCCACTGTGCTCAGATTTCCCACAGAAAATGGAATACTATCGTCTCGAAGTCCTGGCTATGCTCTCCTCGTAACACAGTCCTCTGTGCATTTTCAGGCTTAGCGTTGTCTCTTGTTAATTAGGCCACTGAAAAGGAGTGTATCTTTTTGTCTAAGTAGGTTTTCCTTGAAGACCCATTCATATTCTGAGAGCAACGAGACATCCAGGTGTAATTTTTTTTTAAGTTTGTGTAGGCTTATGTAAAGTTACACAAATACGAAAGTCAGCAATGGGTCGAATGAGCTTGTCCTTTCTCCTCTTTTTTGTCCTAACCCGGTTGTTTCTCATAAGTCACCATTCTGGAGAAAAACAGAACCCAGAAGCATGGAACAAAAGGCATAGCAGTGGGTGGAGATGGCACCTAAAGGACGCAGAGAACACATTTAAAGAAAATGGAGAGCTGGCGAAGGCTAGTGGGAGCCGGAAAAGCCTGGAAAGTAGAACTGTTTCATCTGGAACATTCACATCCCTTTCCCAGGTGGATGACTGACTCCCTTGGGGACCGTTCCTAATTCTCAGACTCGTCGCCCATAACAGCGTTACCTGGGACTCTCCGGATGGAGAGAGCCCAACCCCTCATCCCTCAGTGCCTGCCCTTCCCAAAGACGACTAGCTGCACACATCCCCTCAGGCCCACAGGCCAGCTCTCACTCCTTGCAGCCCTGCTTTCAATCTGCATATTTTCAAAAGGAAAAAAAGATGTTTAGAAATCTCAACGTGAACTCCACTTGTGGAGCTCACGCTCTTATCAAGACATTCAGATACTCTCTTCAAGATGTTTCATCATTTCTGACTCCTCCAACCAAAGAGGAGTGTTCTCTAAACACCTTCCCTGATTTGGGGAAAAAGCTTTGACAACACCAAGACACTTTATAAACGTCTTGTTAGAGAATAAATTGCCACAATCTACTCCAGATGATTGGGTCACTTTTTAAAAAATGTGTCAAGTTGAATCTTCTATCTAACTTATGGCCCTAGAGTTTCAGGGCCCTGGAAACACTGAAAGCAGTGCCAGCTCTGCCCCAAAGTCGCTCTGTGGACGGGGACACATCACAGAACCTCTCTGGGCCTCGGCCTCTTCATCCAAAAAGTGAGGTTTTTAACTTGGTGGTTGTGTAGGTTTCTTCCAGCTCCAAAGTACTCAGATCCTATGACTCTAAAAGTAACCTTCAGGGGAGGGGAGCTGCTTTGCTCCTTCCTGATATTATCGAGCCATTCCTGATGCAGTCACTTGCTCTATCGTACCTCCAAAGAAATCCTTTTGTAATGACTTTATTATAACTTTCTGAGAGAACATCGAGAGAGTCTCAGGTCACTTAGAAGCTGCCACTTCAGTGTTGGATGGTTCCCTGGAGAATTTCTTTATTTTTGCCAGTATTTCCGTAGCCCCTACTTGAACAAGTACTTTTGTGATTTCTCATTAAGTCCAGCCGAAATGATCTCCTACCGGGAGAAGCCTTCTGGTTTCTGGCCCTCTGAAGGGGTTTGGGGTTTAGGAAGGTGATGAAGGAACAAGAGGCAGATGTCCCCCAGTGGGCCCTGGGTCCTGATCAGGGCCCGACTGCCAGTCTTGCTGGTGCTGAGGACTGCTGCCGGGGTGCCTGCATCCCTCCAGGGAGCACCATGGCAGATGACTACCTGAGCCCCAGAGAGTGCCAGCAGGATCGAGGCCCTTCCTACCCGCTGCCCTCCACTGCCATAAAGAAGGCATGATTCAGGGTCCTTCCACATCACCCACATGAGCTTTAAGGTTCTACAATTAACTGTTTGGACCTTTTGACTTTAGGGACTTATTAAAGAAAAACATGATTGTTTTCTAAAGATTTGTTTTTAAAAGATATTTTTGAATCAAGAAAATATTCTGGAGTATAAGCCTACCCTATACTCGTGGGGGAGGGGCACGAGAATATAAATAGGGACACAGCCTGCTCCCCACTTCTCTTCCCAAGCATGCATGTGGGATACCCCAGTTACCATCCCAGCATCTCAACCATTCCTGCCCCCAGTCCTGGGGTGGGTGAGGGTGGACGAGAGGCCCTAGCAGCAAGCTCTGGGATGACTCGGCACCTAGTAAATTCTGGGGACCCAGGTAGCTAAGGGTGGTCACGAAGCGGATGGGGACCTTGCAGGCTCTGGGTCAGCATCCTCACCCCTGGAGAGGGGTGCTGCAAAGGAGAGCTGGAGGGGGGTCCTCGAAAGCATAGGGTCCAGGAAAGCGCCTGGTGGTCCAGGGCTAAAGGTACTGCTGCATTCCATTCCAGCCGAAGAAAACCAGGCACCAAACACCAAAAAGGCTGTTGAAGTTTTCTGTACCTTCACACACACGGCAGGTGTGCGCTGAACTGAGGAGGAGTCGGACATCTCCCACACGGCACTGTTCACTGGTGCCGACCCTTGAATATTTAGCAGAAAGGGGTGGAGACAGCTCCTTTGAATTATGAATGGTCTGGAGAATTCAGCAAACCTGGGCTCCAGAGCCGAGCACATTTTGGGAAGCTCATCACTTGGTTCCTAAAAATCATCTTTATTCACAGAATTTAAAGTCCTAAATAAGTCTACCAAAGTGTGTGATAGGGCAGACTTTCCCTATAGAGGCAGGGCCTCAGGAATCCTCCGGCAACACTTCAGCCCAGCGGGTGGTGTGGAATGTGAAGAGCGTACAGGAGCTTCTTCACGGCACGCGAATGATTTAGGTCACTGAGTGCTTGGTCCCAAGGGTGCAGTCGGCCCCGCCTGACACCACTGCAGCAGAGCTTCCACTTAGAAGGGTTTGCAACAAGCCAGAATTCCTGTCCTGATTTCTTGTGCTTAGGTCGTTTCTTTTTAAAATCCCATCTGTCTTGCTCTGTGATTGTTAGTCTTACTAGAAGGAGAACAAGTTCATACTAAAGGGAAATGTAAATGGTGCATTTTATTTCTCAGAGTATAACTGCAGGCTCTGGGAAACTGCCCCATTCTTAAAAGGCTCCAGAGTGCCAAAGCCTCTGGAGAATAAGCCTACACGAAAAGGGCTGCTTGGGAATTCCATGTGGTTCTGACTTCCATCCCCTGTCGCTGCACCAGAACGCAGCTGTATATCACGTCTCTTCCAGAACTGAGCTGTAAATCAGGTCTCTTCCACGTGGGCTGACAAGGAGGGCTTTCTTAAGCCTGAGCAACACAAAGAAGACGATGTGCTCTGAGCGTTGGGAGAACCAGCTCCAGGTTCCAATTCTATCAGTTGCTTGTTTTCAACTTTTCAAGGCCTAAGAAAGCTTTCCTGGCAGAGCAGACATGAACAAGGTTAGCTGCTCCAGCAGGCTGCTGGTTACATGCTCCCAGACTGGGGCTGCAGAGCGTCTGTGGCCCCGCACAGGGGAAGCAGGAAACCTCTGAAAGGCTCCCTTGTCTTACTGGTGGTATGTAGCTGGTGCGTGGAGGCCATCCCTTGACACGAGATGGGTAAAAGGAACTATGTACGAGGCAGAGGAGAGGCCTGGGCTTTTCATTTGATATTTTTCAGATGGCTGAGGGAGGAAACCCTTTAAGAATGGCCCCACGTCCTGCCTCCACCTTTAGACCACCGGAGGCCCACGTGGAATTACACCCAGAGCGAAGAGAGACACTGCCAGGTCCCAAGAGATTTAGTTCCCCTCTCTAAATGATGAAAAGTCCCTAATCTGCCTGATGGAGATGCCTAAGTAACTCCTCAGGACAGTAAATAAGTAAGCTGGTCAGAGAGGAAGGGAAGGCAAAAATGAAACCAAGTAAAATGAGGATAAAAGATACAAATTGTGTGCCCTGCAGTGGAAATTAACTTCAAACAAGAATGCTGGAGCCCATTACACGGACCTATGCTAAACACCAAAGGAATACAAAGACAAAGAAACACATCTCTACTTCTAATAAACATCTAGTCAATATGTAAGACACTCTGAATACAACTAGTCCAACTCCAATACATATCCTGTTATATCTGATTCCCTTTAACTCTGAATATCTCGACTCATCAGACTCTTCCTCTTCCGGGTGTACGGTAACAGCTCAGTTCCCTAGAGTTATGACGACACCAAATATTAAGGCTGGGAGAGTGTTGAAGCTCTTCTTGTCTAATTCTATCACTCTGAGATGAGGGGGTTGTGCGTCTTGTCCAAGACACACAGCTGGTGGCAGCCGAAGGCGGAACTGGGGTTTCTGGCCTCCCAGTGAAGTGTCTATTGGCCTTTGCTGTCTTCCTGACAATTTTTTGAATCAAAAGGCATTTTGCTTATGCCCCTGTACGAGGAGGAAGAGATGTATTTTGAATTGCTTTAAAGGGCTTAGCTAAAATGGAATGTTAAATGCTGAATAAAAATCCACCCTAATATGCAGCCTAGTCTTGGGTCTCTTAGGTCAAAGGGATCATAGATTTAGGTCACTCACCACTAGAGGACACTCAGATTTTCACAGTTAGTTTAAAGAGGCGTCCACACGCAGCCTGCAAACCAAGTTGGTCCACATGATGACATCTTCTTAGAGTCAGGTAAAAGGTAAATGGCCATTTCCCGGAATATACTGGCTCAGGCACATGTGTCTAATATATCCATATATTAGGGTATATGTACATAAACATGTATTATAATTAATCTATATTTGTCATATATTACATCTATTTTATGTATATTATATATTTGTTATAATTAATGTTACTATTTTAGATTCAAGCTTGATGTTTTCTCTAAGGGCGCTTTTATTTATTGCTTTCAAGTGGTAAGCTGATTTTTGCAGTAAAAATTAACTTGGAAGTCAGCTTGCCTCCAGAGCACTCACACAGACTCCAGTGGGCTCCCGCCAAAATCCACAGGCCTGCAGCATTCTGGGCAAGTCATGCTGTTGTTGGGGCCCTGGGATACTCTGATTTAAACAGGAGAAGGAAGAGAAGAAAAGGAGAGCTTTCTCTGCTATAAAAGGAAATGAATACAAGCCAGGCAATTTCTTTAACGCTCCAGTTTATCATCCCCACAGGCCTTATTCTGATCACGTGGGGAGTTTCTGGAGATTTACACCTGGAGCCATGAAAATCCATTCTCTCTAGGAGGACCAAGTGCTTTCTGGCTGTGTTGTTTAAATTATGAAAAGGTCTATTCCATATGCTTAAAAGAAGCTAAATTAATATATAAGCTATTATTAACTACTACCTAGCATTGCCCTGTCTGAAAAATATCAGAATCTTCATAAGAATTGTCCTTGTGAAGAGGCCGGCGGGGCTGTTCCGCAGAGCACCTGCGCCTCTGGCTGTCTCGTCAGAGTTGTTGCTGATGAGCATTCAGATTCCGTTCTGTTGAACGGTTTTCCTGCCCCGTGGCACTTACCTGATCAGGACTAGCCTGTGCTTTGCCAAGTACTGTGGAAAACTTGGCTCACAGAGGTGAAAAAGGATACATCTAATTCACTCTGGAAAAGAGAAAAGAGTGCAAGGATGAGAAAGAGACACCAGCACACAGGGCGCCTAGTGGCTTGCCCGCGGGCTGCTTGGGCCGCAGGCCTGGCAGCGGGTGAGAGGGGCTGCTCAGTATGAAGGAGCCTGAGAGCGGGAAGGCCCTGAGTTCGGGATTGCGATTTAAAAACATAATCGGCTGCAGTTTAGAGGAATTTTAGAGGCCAGAACAATTTATCTTAGAAGCTAGAGGGAATAAAGGAACTCAACCATTACAGATGATAGGTAATTTGATATGTGGAGACCCTTTGAATAATGTGCTTACCCTTTGAATGCATCAATTTTATTTCTACAAGTTTATTCTAAGGAAATAATTAGATGATGACACAACAATGTGTGATAGGATGTGCAGGGTAATGTTGTTTATAGCAGCAAATTATTGAAAACAAGCTAAGTGTCTATCAAGTGGGGACTAGTTAAATAAATTATAGCAGATCCACAAATGATGATGTAGGGGCCGGCTCCATGGCCTAGTGGTTAAGTTCAGTGTGCTCTGCTTCAGCACCCTGGGTTCGGTTGCCAGGTGCAGACCTATACCACTCATGGGCAGCCATGCTGTGGCGGCAACCCACATACAAAATAGAGGAAGACTGGCACAGATGGTAGCTCAGGGCCAATCTTCCTCACCCCAAAAAAAAAAAAAAAAGAAAAAAAAGATGATGCAGATATACAAGTACTGACCATTGTTAAATAAGAAAGCAAGCTATAAAATGGCATATACAGTATTATCCCATGTATACATGTACACATAAAGAGAAATGTAGATATAGACAGATGTGTAAAGCCTAGCGGAAATGTACCTAACAGTATGTATCAATAAGAGATGGGCTTACTGATACTCTTCTCCCCTTTCTTTTTGCTTATATGTATTTTTAATTTTTTTCAATGAACATAGATATTTACGTCATGAAGAAGTCCCAGAAGGACAAAGTAAACAGAGTTCAATGACACTTGAGAGGACCTGAGGTTTGTCAAGGGTAGCACCCACAGCCCTGGTCCCACTTCCTCAACAGTGAGGCCCCCTCTCTTGTGGAGCTGCCTGTGCTGAAGCTCACTGGGCTGGCTTTTTGTCTTGAAACGTGATGCCAAGATGCTTCTTTCAGCCCAGACAGCATGAGGCTGATCTCCAAATTTAAGATTTTAAAACTCTAAGATGAAAAATAGCCCCAGAAAGAATGTTTAAAACTCACAAACCTAAAAATAAATCTCAGATGACAAGGCGTTCTCCACCAGCGGGACAAAGTCTATTTTCTTTCCCATAGTACTCTTTTCCCTCCTCTTTCTCTGCTTTTTGCTACTGCCATCTGACACCAGGCCATCCCTGAGTACTGTCCAAGTCCTGTGTAATCACTTGGTTTAAATTAAATTCTAATCTTTACTTCTGTGGTTATGTGGTCACTGACGCTCTCCCTAGAATGACAGCTAGAATTCAGCAACCTGCTATTTATTCTCAGTTACCGAATATAATAATAACAATTTTAGAAACTTTAGCAATGATAGTGCTTATACCCACTCTTTATTCTTCCAGGTTTAAAACATTGCTATTTTGGGAAATTCTATTCTTCTTGATAGGTGTTGCCTTAAAGTGGCTAATCACGGCCAGCTCTGAATCCCAGACCCTGACTTGCAACCAGCCTGTCTGAAGAGAGTGTCATCAGGAGAGAAACAAGAGACAGAGCTATGCTGTCCACTATGGCGACCACCAGCCTCCTGTGGTGATTTGAAGTTAAATTAGTTAAAGCGAAATAAAATTAAAATTTCAGCTCCTCATTTACACTAATCACATTTCAAGTGTTCAAGAGCCACATGTGGCCAGTGGCTCCCGTATTGGCCGGCACAGGTACAGCACATTTCTATCACTGCAGAAAGTTCCACTGGACAGTGCTGGTCTGTGGTGCTCTCCCCAAGCAATCAATACAAAGACAGATTTCAAAGCCAGCATCAATGCCCCCGTCACCGCAAGGCCAGTCTCTGGAAGAGCTGCCCTCTTGCCCTCGTTCGGCTTCGGACGGTCCAATCCCTTCTAGCTAGATGCACTACCATGTCACAGGCCACAGGGCAGCTTCCCAGCTCCAACTCCTGAATCAGGAAACGGCTGACAGCAGGCCTCCTGCAGAAAGGCAGCGCTCCTGGAACGTCAGCACGCAGCACATCACCTGGAAGGCTTGTTCAAACAGATGGCTGGGCCTCCACCCAGAGTTTCTGATTCAGTGCTCCGGAGCGGGCCCAGAATTTGTATTTCTAACGAGTTCCCAGGTGGTGCTGATGCTGCTGGTCCAGGAGCCACACTTGGAGAACCGCTGCACGACGGCAACGAAGACAGGCCGGCCGATCGTTCCGTGAAGGAGTGTGCCAAACCGGACTGCTGGCATTACGACTTAGGCTGAAGATGGAGCTTCTTAACACGAGTTTCGCCCTCAGCAGGCTTCAGGTCACTCAACATTACTAAAGAGGCAGCAGATGCCACTCACTGCCTCAGGAGGAAGCAGCTGGGAAAGAGTTCCTTCCTAATCCTTTTATTTAAAAGCAAAATGAAACAAACAAAGCAACTTTGACAAATCAGCTTGTGCCACTACTACTTCTCAAGAAGGCTCTGGAAGGCCTGAGGTAGCAAAGGAAAACATCTTCACTGATTCTTTCTTAAAAGACTGTTGGATTTCAAACTAACTACAAAGCTAACCTCATCGAGACAGTGTGGTACTGGCAGAAGGAGAAACACATAGATCATTAGAAGAGAACTGAAAGTCCAGACAGAGACCCTTACGTTTATGGTCAATTGATTTTTGACAGGGGTGCCGAGACAACTCAATGCGGGGAAAGAACAGTCTTTTCAACAAATGGTTTGGGGACAAGTGGCTAGCCACGTGCAAAATAGTAAAAGTTACACCCCTACTTCACATGATGTACTAAAATTACTCAAAATGGATCACAGACCTAAATGTAGGAGCTAAAATGATAAAACTCTAAGAAGAAAACATAAGAGTAAATCTTCACGACCATAGGTTAGGCAAAGCCTTTTTAGACATGACACCAAGGACACAAGGAACAAAAGAAAAACCAAATTAACTGAACTTCATCAAAATTAAAAACTATTGTGCTCCAAAGCACATCATCAAGAAAGTGCAAAGAACATGACTGAATAGGAGAAAATACTTTCAAATCATATTCAATAAGAGATTTGTATTCAGAATATATAAAGAACTCATAACTCAACAATAGAAAGACAAGTAATGCAACTGAAAAATAGGCAAAGGATTTGAACAGACATTTCTCCAAAGAAGATATATAGATGGCCAAAAACATGAAAAGATGCTCAACTTTGTTATCCACCAGTGAAACATAAATAAAACCCACAATTGACTGGCCCGTATACCACTTCATACTCACTAGGATGGCTACAATCCAAAAGGTAGATAATGAGTTTTGGTGAGGACGTGGAGAAACTGGAGGCTCATACACTGCTGATGGGAATTTAAATCAAGCAGTCACTTTGGAAAAGAGTTTGGCAGCTCATCCAAATGTTAAACATGGAGTTACCACATCACCTAGCAATTTCGCTCCTAGGTAGACACCCAAGAGAAGCGAAACCATGATTCCACACAAAAACGTGTATGTGAATGTTCACAGCAGCGTTATTCATAATAGCCAAAAAGTATAAATGACCCAAATGTCCATCAACTGATGAATGGAAACAAAATGTGGTACATCCATAAAGTAGAATATTATTTGGCTATAAAAAAGGAATGAAGTTCTGACACATGCTACACCATGGATGGATCTTGAAAACATTATGCTAAGTGAAAAGAGCCAGTCAGAAAAGACCACCATGGTATAATTCTCTTTAGATACAATGTCTGGAACAGGCAAACTTACAGAGACAGAAAGTAGATCAGCGGTTACCGAGGGCCCAGAGCAGGTTGAGGGGGATAACTGGGAGGGAAGTGCTCATGGGCACGGTGTTTCTTTTTAGGGTGATGAAATATTCTAAAACTGATTGTGGTGATGGTTGCATAACTCATTGTAAATACTAAAAACCACACACTTTAAATGAGTGAATTGTATGGTATGTAAATTATATTTCAATAGAGCTGTTTTTTTTAAAAAAAGGACTGTTGGAAAGGAACTCATGTATTTCTTAGGGGAGTTGGTTCCGACCCTCAAAGCAAGGGTTTGGAGGGAAATGGTTCTTAAACTAAAAAGGGTCCTGGTATCTTAGGAGGGGAAGCAGCAGAAAGAAGAAAAGAGAGAGCAAGTTAGACAGCAAAATCTTTTAATGGAGAGACGTAAGAGTTTCTTAGTCTTGTAGAACTGGTTCTTTATAAAGATCTAAGGCACACAAAGGTTTGTAACACTTTGGATGAGCCAGAAGGAAAGGTAAAGAAACTTTGGCAACATTTGAATTTTAACTTTTACATATTAAAGCTCTATATTAACAGATGTTCTTGATATAGACCCATTTCTGGGTAATTGGGCTGAGGTCGAAAACCATTTTTTACTCATTAGACTTACCACTCGGCTGAAGTACTCGTCTAAAACTTCCACAAAGTTATGGATGAATTCATAAATTGCCATCTCATTCTGAAACGAAAAAAGAAGATGCCATTGGTTTTCGCAGGGCCCCTGTGTAAATCAGACATGCAGCTGCCCAGGCAGCAACCAGGTTTTATAGCACGTGGCTTGGAAAACAGATAATGTGAGCCAAGTAGCTTCCCAGTGACAAATATTCAGAATTGTTCTATGACTCACTTGTTTAAAAGAAGTTATCAATAGGGGAAATGTAGAAAACCTTAAGCTCTAAGATATTTTTAAAAGTCCATGATGAATCTAGCTAGACTGAAATCAGATTAAGTGCAGCTCTACTCCCTGACTTCATCATCCACTGGCTGAAGCCATTTTCCAGGTCCCTCATGCCACCACTTTTCCACCTGGCTTCTGAGACGTCAGCCTACGTTTAATGCCCCAACTGACTGGCCTCGACTCGTCTAAGCCACCCCACTGTGCCACACACAACAAGGACAGGACGCTGGCACAGCTTGGAGTTGAGGAAGGCATTCTGTGGCTTTGCGCTTCCCCACAAGCTGCTCATCTAACCCAAGAAAAATCCTAGGTATTTCTCCTCCACACAGCTTCCCCCAGCCTCGTTAGAAACCAAGATCCTTCAAAAGAGTCGAGATAGTTCTTAGGGAGGCAGGCAGGGAAGGAAGTGTCATTGTAAGGAGGGATAAAAATCAGACTGTCATTCCTAGTTTTCTGGCATTTTCCACAGGCCCTTCTATGATCTTACCTCAGTGTCGTTAACTCCAACCACTATGAAGAGAGCCGCATACTGCCGATATATCAGCTTAAAATCCTTATATTCGATGAAAGAGCACTAGACAAAACACAGTTAGATATTAATTCCTGTGCTTGACAGGGATTTCTTCAAAACAGCATGCATAGTTTTGAGGCTCTGACTTGAATATGTCAATACATTCCCAGAAATATACGACATTAAAATGTCACACAGCCTTTGTGGGCCTTCTCCTCACACTACTCAGGGGACTGCTTGGCAGCATCTCTAATGGGACGTGGAGGAGCGGTCTTGGACAAAAGTCTGAGTGTTCACATGGGTGCCCACCTGTGCTCCTTCCCTTCCTTTGTTTGGCTCTGAGTGGAACTCAGCAGGCAAAGCTGCTGAATAATCACCACTTTTTTTGATTCTTTTTTTTTTTTTGAAGAAGAAGATAAGCTCTGAGCTAACATCTGTCACCAATCCCCCTCTTTTTGCTGAGGAAGACTGGCCCTGAGCTAATATCTGCCACCAATCCTCCTCTTTTTGCTGAAGAAGACTGGCCTGAGCTCACATCTGTGCCTATCTGCCTCTACTTTATATGTGGGATGCCTACCACAGCATGGCTTGACAAGTGGTGTGTATGTCCACACCCAGGATCCAAGCTGGCAAACCCCAGGCTGCCAAAGCGGAACATGCAAACTTAACCACTGCGCAACTGGGCCAGCCCCAATAATCAGCATTTTAACCTGCCTCCAACATGAAAATAAGCCAACATGATAAAGAAGATTTTCTTCTTTTCATCGCCCTTAAGCTCTTTTGGAAGTAATTAGAGATTCAGTTTTGTACTATTTAAAACTCATTGAAGAGGGCGGGCCTGGTGGCACAGCAGTTAAGTGCACATGCTCTGCTTTGGCGGCCCAGAGTTCGCCGGTTCGGATCCCAGGTGTGGACATGGCACTGCTTGGCAAGGCATGCTGTGGCAGATGTCCCACATACAAAGTAGAGGAAGATGGGCACAGATGTTAGCTCAGGGCCAGTCTTCCTCAGCAAAAAAGAGGAGGATTGGTGGCAGACATTAGCTCAGGGCTAATCTTTCTCAAAAAAAAAAAGTCATTGAAGAGCCAAATTCATGTAGCATCCACACATGCAAAAAAATCTTGACTTCTTTTTCCTAGACCCATGAAAAGAATCAATGTAGACTCTTTTATAAATTATTTAAAGATGGCTTTTGTGTGGCCCATGCTAGACAAAATCTCCCATTGTAAACATTGCTTCCTATGAATTAATAACCGGCTTTCCACTGACTATGGACAGAACAACTCCCTGCCCGTTGATCTCTCTCCTGAAGCCACTGTACAAGGGTAATGGGGAGGCTCTGGGGGGGACAGCAGGTGGACTGAAGGCACGGTGCCTCCCTTCGGACCTCGGGGGTGCTTGACCAAACGTGACTGCGCATGAACTGTTCGTCCTGGGGCACGTCGCCCTCGGCTGCCCAGATGCACCCGGGAACGAAGCTGCAAGTCTTGATTATGGGATTTCTTCCATGGGAAAGCCATCTGACACTCTAGAAAGTAGAGGGATTTGGGGCTTTCATTTAAAATTAGGATAAAGGTAATAAGGAGAGGCCCATTCTGCAGCTTCTGGCCCACTGGAGAGCCAGTGTGATTTCTGCTCAGTCAGATCTTTCAAGGAAACACACCTAATTGAAAGAACTGAGGGACGTTTTTCAAAGCCTCTCAGGAGTTTCTGACATGAAGGAAAAAAGGAAGGTATCATAGCCCCTTTGTGGATGAAATAAAAACTCAGCTGAGATCATGCTACTCTGGTGCCTGATTATGCCCAAAGCCCACTGGGTTCTCTTTAAAAATCGAAACTAATTTAGAATGCTTCAAAGATATCTAACGGTATATTCATTCCACAGCATGTATTTCAAAGAGTGACCCCCTCTGTGAAAACAGTGCTTGAAATGGTGGAGCGCCCGCCTTCGGCAGAAAGGGTTAAACAGGAACGCTTCTGGAGTTTGTTTACCCTACTTAAAGTACGTGGCTATTAACACAGCCCCTTAATAGCTTCTGTTTCCTTTTGACAACTACATGAAGCAGTGTGTGCCAAGGCAAGCCCAAGTGGTAATTCAAAGAGGACTCGGAGACGTTGCGACTGGAAAATCAATTTAGACGCCAAGGGAAACACAGCTCCAACATGTAACTTCTGAGCACTGATATAGCTTAATATTTTAAGACTTAGCTGTGGTTCCCACAGGCAGCCTTTTTACATCTGCAGTGAAATGGAGGACTGGCAAAATTAATGGGTGATTTAAACAAGTTTTCTGATTTTACTTCAGTTTTTGTTTTTTAGGAAGATTAGCCCTGAGCTAACATCTGCTGCCAATCCTCCTCTTTTGTTTTTTGCTGAGGAAGACTGGCCCTGAGCTAACATCTGTGCCCATCTTCCTCTACTTTATATGTGGGACGTCTACCACAGCATGGCTTGCCAAGAGGTGTCATGTCCACACCTGGGATCCAAAATGGAGAACCCCGGGCCGCCAAAGTGGTATATGTGCACTTAACCGCTGTGCCACTGGACTGGCCCCGATTTTGCCTCAGTTTTTTAGTGATTTCCAATGGATTCAAAGTTTAAGACCGGATTAAGTAATTCTCTAATTAAAGTTCTTTGTAAAAATAGACTCAGTTTAAAAAATTCCCATTCCCATTTATTTTAATGATTTAATTTAACCTCAATTTTGGCAGAACGGATAGATGTGTTGCTTCATAGGAATTTTTAACTTCCATTTCACCCATCTACATAATAAAATAAGACAAGTTCAAATCAAGTTCGTTTTGTTTTTAAATCACTAGTTCCAGTACTACATGGGTGGTAAATTTACAAAAATGATAAGCAGAAAAAAACTGCACTCCACATGAGAATCATATTATTATCCTCCGGCACAAAATGGGCCTCGGGTGTTCACCTCTATATAGGTCATCTGACCTTCATCTTGTGGCTTAAAGAAAGCCACCTGCTCCAGGCGCTCCTGAGAGTTCCAAGGGGTGAATTCATACGAACGGAAAAAGAAGATATGTCTATTAGCAGGAGCAAGTTTGAGCCGCCGCTTACACAGTGCATTGAGACGGATAAGCTGACCTGAATATGAACCGAAGACATCTCCTGGTTTTTATTTTCCTTAAGGGGATGTAAAAAGAGCGTGCTTCAGTCTTCATTGCACTTCATTTGTTCTTCTCCCTAAGAGCTGTTGAAAGAATGCAGTTCAAAGAAAACGACGGCCCTAGGGATTCAGTAAGAACAGATCTGCCACTGCTGAGCTGAAGGCAGAGATAACAGAGAGAGTCGGAAACTTACTTTTTCACTGGATCGAGACAGACAGCTCTTTATGACTTCTGTTTCCAGAAGCGTACGCTTATTAATCTCCACATGTTCATAGTACTTAGAAAGTCGGGTCTGCCCTTGCTTATTCACCATAAGGAAAAATTTTATCATTTTTTTTTTTCCTGGCCAGTATTTTTCCAAATAGAGTTCAAAAGTTATGGCAAGGGATGGCTGCAACTGGGACCTGAAGGATGGAAGCAAAAGGCAAAATCAAATTCTCAAAGAGTCATATTAAATGTGTTCTACAGATAAACCAGAAATAAACAAAATATCTTCTGATAACATTGGTCTCCGCTCCTATGAACTAAATGAGGTTCTAATAAATAACTAAACATAAATTTTCATTTGTTATCTTCCAAAACATTTTTGAGTATCCACAGTACTTCTACTCATATTTGTTCAATTGAGTCATCAATCTTTTTTCTTTTTTTGAGGAAGACTGGCCCTGAGCTAACATCCGTGCCCATCTTCCTCTACTTTATCTGTGGGATGCCTACCACATGCCTTGCCAAGCAGTGCCATGTCCGCACCCAGGATCCAAAGCGGCGAACCCTGGGCCACCGAAGCGGAACGTATGAACTTAACCCCTGCACCACCGGGCCAGCCCCTGAGTCATCAGTCTTGTTGGGTGCCAACTATGTGTCAAGCCCCAGGAGGAAAATATGGAGATGAAGAAGTAATGATTTCTGATCTTCACACCCGACAAAGGTACTAGATAGTAAGCAAGTAACAGTAGTACACGGTGATGAGTTATAACTGGGACGGGTTTATGTCTGTGATGCAGAGGAGGAGGGACGAGGAACACAGCAGGAGAGTGGGGGACGGCTTCCTGGAGAAGGGGCTCTTAAGCAAGATCTTTTTTTTTTTTTTAAGATTTTATTTTTTTCCTTTTTCTCCCCAAAGCCCCCCAGTACATAGTTTTATATTCTTAGTTGTGGATCCTTCTAGTTGTGGCATGTGGGACGCCGCCTCAGTGTGGTTTGATGAGCAGTACCATGTCCGCGCCCAGGATTCGAACTGACGAAACACTGGGCCGCTTGCAGCGGAGTGCGCGAACTTAATCACTCGGCCACGGGGCCAGCCCCTTAAGCAAGATCTTGAAGAGCGATCCAGAGGGAAGGACTCTGAGGCGGAGAAAACAGGGGTAGGAAAGCTCTGAACGTTCATTCATTGCCGTTGCAGTTCAAGGGGCAGGAAGCATGGTCGCAGGAAACGGAGCCGCTCGCATCAGATCAAATTGGCTTTGGAAGTCATGCTAAGGAACATGAACTTTATTTTCTGGACAGTGGAGACAAGATCTAGAGTGAAGAGTTTCTTTCTTTGGTGTTGGAAGCAGTAGTAGTAACACCAACCATGGTCGAAGTCTTCTAACAAGGCCCTGTAACAAGTCCTATAAGGTCCTGTACCAAGCAACTTACACAGACTATTTAACTCTTTCAATTCTCTGAGGCAGGTACTGCTGTTGTTCCCATTTTAAGGCAAGCAAGTTGAACTTTAGGGATGTTAAGACATCGAAAGTCCTTGGATTACTTTGTGTCAGAGGTGAAATGCAGCTCAGAGGCCAAGCACATGCATGGATCCATGACATCCCCTGACTCATCCTCATAATTCAGGGGTTCATGATTCTGGTTTTATTTCTAACTCAGTTGTATTGAATCTCATGTTTGTTTCTCTTACACTTAATATAGATTTTTGAAATAATCAACGCAAAACAGCACAATATATTCCAATGGCTAGTCCTTTCATCACGAGTATCAGAGCTGCCTCATTAGTTCATCTGACAATACCATATTCATATTTTGTAATATCTGTGAAAATCAGTGCAAAAGACCAAGGTTAACAATTGTTCTTGGGCCTGGCCCAGTGGCGTAGTGGTTAAGTTTGCGTGCTTTGGTGGCCCGGGGTTCACAGTTTCAGATCCTGGGCACCGACCTACATACCTCTTGTCAGGCCATGCAGTGGCAGCATCCCACATACAAAATAGAGGAAGATCGGCACAGATGTTAGCTCAGGGCCAATCTTCCTCACCAAAACAAAAAGGAAAAAAACAGTTCTGAAATGAACTTTTAAAATTTGGAATAATTTTACAGAAAAATAGTAACAGATTATAGGATAATACTTGGACTAAGTTTTATACTATACATATATTTTTTAAAGATTTTATTTTTTCCTTTTTCTCCCCAAAGCCCCCCAGTACATAGTTGTATATTCTTCATTGTGGGTCCTTCTAGTTGTGGCATGCGGGACGCTGCCTCAGCATGGCTTGATGAGCAGTGCCATGTGCGCGCCCAGGATTTGAACCAACGAAACACCGGGCCGCCTGCAGCAGAGCGCGCGAACTTAACCACTTGGCCATGGGGCCAGCCCCCATACTATATTTTTTGCCCTCTCGGCTCATCTCTTATTTCCTAAACTCCATCAGACAGGTGGTTATCGCACAGCAATTTCAAACATTAAGAACTGGAAAGAGTCAGGCTCAGTCTGGCAAGGCCTGGAGCCGCTGCATTCCTTCAGTGTGCAGAAAAAGATGTGAGCTAGACCAGCTCAGCCCGGGATATGACAGCTGCGCCACGGCAGAGGCCTGCGGTCACTCGCTCCCTTTTCCAGGAAGGTAGGCTCACTACTGTAGGTGGGATTGCAACACACTGTGTGTTGTTTAATGACTTGGTATTAAGTGCTGCTTTTATTCTCCTTAGAAATTCTTGCCAGTAAATTACAGCAGGTGACTAGTAAATTAAAGTTACCATCCTTTCTTTTATTCCCTTTCAGCAAAGTTATTTTAAAACCATCTTTATGAAAGCTAGAAATTACAATCCTATACCCTGAATTCCACTGCCAGGTTAAAAAACATATGCATTGTCTCAAAGGTACCCACGGCCAAACCTTTGCCTTTAAATGCCCTGGTTGCCTTAAGTGGTAAAATGAGATGTAAAATGACTCCATTGAGATGTTACACCAAAGGATCGAGTTGGTCCCCACCTCAGAAGCACAGCATTCCTTCGCACTGACTTCAAGAGCAAGGATGACAAAGACGTGCTGAACTGATACTCTTAGGACGTAAGTCTTGAAAATAGCAACTGAAGGCATCTAAACACTTGAATACATCATCTTTTTTTTGCACATTCATAAACAACCACACAATTTATAACTGTAGGATTACATAGTGGTAGTAAAGTGAACAAGCAAAACTGTAAATTATCTCTATTATAAAATATACAATGCCAAAATACACAAAGCAGAGACTCAGAGACAAGCACGTGTTTGAGAAATGAAGATGAATGCTCTCAGCACCTGTCCTTGGTACCAATCATCAGGGAGGAGGGTGAGCAATAATTAGCAAACTGAGGTAGCGCCGTGAGAAGGAACATGCTTAGACAAGCACTGGGAGCGGTCAGGGAGCAGGTACGAACTTCCTCTTTATAAACTCTTTGCATTAACAACATGCAAGGCTAGGGAAAATGTTTTGATTGCCAGGAAGTAAGGAGATTCCACACCCAAGAGCTTGTGTGAACGTGCGTGGAAAGTCAAGGGAGAATAAAGAAAGGGAACTTCACTGGGGAAAGCATTACACAGCGCTAGGATGCCTCACGGTCGAGACCAGAGAGGTTGGTAGATTCACAGAATACAAACAGATCAGTGTCTCAGGTGATATGAACTTAATGCCTAGAGAAAAGAGAGATTGGAAGGACTGAAGCATATACGTACTGAATTGGGCACAGTGTTCCTATTTCTAATGGCGTATTTCTAGGAGAACAGGAAAAGTCTTCAGAGATCGCCACATCCAAAGATGACAAATAGATTGCAACTTGGGTGTCAACTGTGACTAACTTTACTAGCGGCTTTCAGCGCTGTGTTGGGAAGGATTCTGGAGTTGTTTTCAGGTTTGGAACAAAAGGACACCATGACTGATTAGTAATTAGTCAGTCATGGGTTAGGAAGCAGGGTGTGGCAACATATGCACCTTGCGTCTGTCATCCCTCATGTACGCTCCCTTCATCTTGCAGATGGGAAGACTGATAATCTGAGGGCTAGAGTGAAGCCCTGAATTCTGGTCTCCTGACTCATAATATAATGCTGTTTTTATCACATTGCCTCTTTGCCTCACTCAGTGTGCTATTGTCATTAAACGTTCATTTAAGCTTAAGAAGCATCAACTTTAGGCAGCTTTAGGAATCATCAAGTCAATATTCTCTTTTCTAAAGCTGCTGCACAATTAATTTGGAAAATACCGAACAATTCATTGCATGAAACAGTAGAGTATGAAGTTTCTAGAATTGAAAGCAGAAATAAAAATGAAAGCCAGTGATGGCTAACATCCTTTCTAGCTCTAAATGCTTTCTATGTACCCTAGAATCATAACATTGTAATACACACACACACTCTCTCTAAGGTAATATCAGAAAAAAACATTTTTGCCCCATAAAAGTGATTGAAATAAAATTCTCCAAGTTAGAAAGCAAATTTCCACCAAGAAAACGTATAGTACTCATACAGTATAATAGTCAAAAGCGTGAACGGAGCTTGACTGTTTGGCTGTACTATTTACTAACTTTATGATCCTGGGCAAGTTACTTAACCTTTCTGCACTCAGTCTGAGGGAGAATGGGAGTAATAATAGTATTACCTGCTGGTTGTGAGGAACAGAGGAGCGAGCACGTCTAACATTCTCAGAACGTCCCTGGCGTTGGCACGTGGTGAGGGCTCTGTTAAATGTTGCCCAAGGTCATCATGACAATACGTCACCTTTTCCTCAGCGGAGCCTTTCCTGCCTATCCCAACGCCCCCATTCTCACCACAAAAAGCTGGTTATCCTTTCTTTGAACCCATCACTTTACCTTACAAAATCTGTCACCCTATATAATCACTATTTGATCACATGCAGAGCTCCCGTACAAGACCAATGATTTTATTTTTTTATTGTGATGGTAAGAGAGATATTTTACACTGTGACCCAGGAAATAAGCACATATATATCTGAAACAAAAGTTCATAAAACAATGCCTACCCAAACTATGCGTATTGCACTCTAGTATTTTCTTTGACACTTCATTTTGTAAAAAATGCAGTTTGTGAGGGGTTTGGGTTACACAGATGTAGGGATTTTTTAAAAACTCAGCAAATGTACTTTAACGACTTATGAATTTATTATACGTAAATTTTACCTAAAAAGAAACTAATAGTTTA